GTTATTTTTTGCCGAAGCTGAAAGGATGGCACAAAAATAGGGACTTTGGATACATTGACTAACGTGTCTGCCTCAGCGACCCGAAATGATACGTGATCATCGAAACTGACTGAAATAAAAATAAATTACTGGAGTTATTTGAAAATGAGTGTACAAATGCTGACTGGGTCAGATTCCTATTGTAGCATCATATAAGACTAATATTAACAAGTGAGATCATTGTTGACCGCAGAGTAAACAGCCAAACTTTCGTAATGGAGTACGAGCATGTCCTTGCGCTTTAAGCGCGTTCTGATTAAGAACAACCAACTGTGTTTCAGAGCAACTTGTCATGGCAGGTTGCAGGCCAGTTCGTTCGCAGCCGACAGAACAGGTTAATTGTTCCTCTTCAGTACGCTTCCTTCTTTTCGATGCATCATTCGGCGGCGGATTACTTACTCCAGCCAATGATATTCTCAGGCGTAATGAAGAAGGACTTCAGGCTACTGCGTCAGGCCGTAATGTTAATTACTTGGATTAGCAGGACCCCTGCTGAAGAAACTGCCAGCCGCATTGCGAGAATAATGACTGCAGCTGCCTGTCCCCTGGGTCACAGAATGCTGGTTGATGACAGTCAAGCATCGCACCAAAAGTTTCAGCACACACTCCTCCTCCATCAAAGTACCTGCAGCCGGTTCAATGTTTTTCCAGCTTGGACAGATCGCTACCCTGTCTTCTGATTCCATGGGTAGCAGCACGGAAACAATGAAAACGGTCATCTTATCGACCTTATCTAACAACATGTGAATATTTCTCGAGTGCATGAATGAGCATCAGCCATCATCGTAGTGTGCTGCCAATGGTAACCTAATGAAGACCTGATTTCTTTGCTGTCAAACATATGTTAGTGATGATAAGATAAGTTATTCTGTCGTAGTCCTAATTATGATACAAATGATACAAAAGCGTGGCACTGTCATGAAGGGTAGGAAAAGATTTAAACAAGCACACAGCATGAAAATTCTTACTTGAGTCGTGTATCCCATGCTCGTTAGGAAACAAATCGTGCACACCGCGAAAGTGATCAGAATTCGAAAACAACACTTGCTTCCGTACGCACCGGCCGCATCTTCGATCGACGAACATATATTCAGCATGATGACGTACTGAAAAGAAAACGAGTGATAAAACGTCTGAAGTAGCATAATGCATTTAATTCTACTCACCAGCGCATTAAGCATAAGAAACAGTACGAGGAACAGCATCACAGCCGACCACAGTAGTGGGTGCTCAAAGTTTCCAACCGCTTCCAACAACCTGAGAAACTGCGTAAATCCTAAGTCACACTATGTACTATTATAATAACGACAAACAACAAAACCTCATTATAACTGTACGACTCATGATCTCATTTAAAACTGCTGATGATATTCAACATAAATTTGTACCCGGAGCTGGCATTTTACGCCTGAAACTAAATGATGCTGTATGACAGACCCTGTGTAAAGCAGCTATGTATCAGGAAATACTCGGTTTACGACATGTATAACATTATGATCATTTTCCGATCAGAGTGTTTTCCATTCAACAAAATTGTGGAATGACGGAATCATGGGGGCAGAACATTTTGATATCGATGTACCGAATGAAATGGGGTATGGCCGCCAGGGAATTACCAAAAAATTGCGTCCTCGACGGTGACAGACGCGATCACTCAGCATCTGAAGGGTGCAGCCCCATACCGCATACTTTATGCAGATAACATTGCGGAAAGTGCAAGCACTGCAACGAAAGTAAAGACGTGGTAGAAGCAAAAACCGATTTATGGAGAACAGCTCTTGAGAAGAATGGCCTTCGACTCGGCAAAAGCAAGTCAGATTATATGGTGGGCAATTTCACTGGGGGAAAACAGTTTGAAATCCGTCGAACTAGTAAAAATAGCGGGGAGCATGCAGCCTCAAACCCAAGAATTCAATTACGTTGGTTCCATCCTGCCAAATAATGCAAAAATTGACAGCGAGGTAAGAAATCGTCAAAAAAAAACCTTGGCTTACATGGAAGGATGTGGGCGGAGTATTATGCGACAAGAAAAAGCCCGTCGGACTGAAAGGGAAGGTATAAAACGAGAGTAAGAGCGGTGCTTCTATATGGAGCGGAATGTTTGGTTACACTGAATAGACACAAGCAACAGCTGAACTCGATAGAAATACGAATGTTCAGATGGATGTGTGGTGTCAACAGAAAAAACCATATCAGAAACAGCTCCATAAGAGGTACCCCAGGCGTAGCATCAATTTCAGAAAAGCTTATCGAAAGTAGGCTCCGTTTGTTAGGTCACGTGAAAAGAATACCCATCGAGTATGTTGGAAATGTGGTCCAAGCACTGATACTTCCGGGAAAGAAAAGAAGGGGAAGACGAAGAAAAGGTGGCGCGATGTCCTCGGATGTCCTCAAAACAATATGAAACCGAAGATCTAACCAAAGATAGAAAAGTATGGAGGAGATTGATTTAATTAGATGGGTGCCTATTAAAGAAAACATGCCATGAGAAATAAGAGAATGACCTAAGCAACTTGCCATATTTTAGGTCCCAAGCCAAGAAGAGAAGGAAGGCGGGTTGAGGACTGCTGCGTAATGTCCGGCACAGCTTAGCTCGCTGCCCTCATGAACGCTGTACCTACTCGGTCGTCGCCCGGGTTTCCAAAAGCCGCACAGGTCTCCTGAGGAACTGAGGCACGCTAGAAAAATAGGCAATCAGAATCGGCT